GGTTGACATTTTTCGATTTTCCTTGGTTTACTTATTGGGAATCGATACTTGCTTCATCAAAATCTACCATAGTTACCCTGCTTTTGAATATTAGATTCCAATATTTGACAGCTGATACCGCCTCACCTGTCATATATACAAGGTTACACTTATGGTAAAAAATTTTGCTTACGGCATTTCCAATAACATATTTAAATTTCATCCAAATACCACTGCTAACCAATTTTCCGTTTAAATATTGCGAGGTCCTTTTTCAATACCGTGGGAAAATCTCTAGATCGGCGGCGCCTTTGGTCTGAAATTTCGGGGATTTGACCCGAGCCAACCCCAAATTTTTCGACGTCATGATATTTATTCCATTACAGGATGCTGTTATGGTTAATGAGGAAAATTCGTGAATCATCATGCCGCCGACGTTTAATGTGGAAACAAACAGGGGTACCATGTTTCACGGTTATTTTTACTTATAACTGATACGCGTTTCCATTCTAGCAAAAACAACAAGCTCAGACTTGCATTTATATTTTGTTGATGATAAACATGCATGTATTTTTTTACTGCCGAGTGGAGAATTTCCCTGATAACAAGCTCAAATTTTAAAGATTTTCGAATACTGCCCATGCGCTGGATCTATAGAGATTAACTTCTTTCCTTAAGATTTACCACTATTTCCCTAAGGTTTCTCCCGAATTCCTTAAGAATTTCCTTGATTACCCCTAGTCTGTACACCAGATTTCCTTTGCGGTTTACCCCTGAAGGGTAACTCGCAAGTCAGTTTTTGTGTATCAGGACGATTTCTCCTGATTATTAGTAAGATTGCCCAAGAGTTTTATAGTTCCCCTAATAACATAACCTCAAATTATAAAGATTTTCGAAAACTGCGAATGCGCTGGATTTAGAGATTAACTGATTTTCTTAAGCTTCTCCATAAATTCCTTAAGATTTCGCCAGAGATCCTTGAGATTTTCTTATAATTTTCTTTGATTGCCTTAGATTTCTTTGGATTTCTCCTAATTTGTACATTAGATATCCCTTGCGCTTTACCCCTGCGGGGTGACTCACAAGTCAGTTTTTGTACACCAAATTATAGTTTTAGAGGAAACCAATAATTATTTCCCCAGATTTTTTTTGACTAACAGTAAGATTGCCCAAGAGTTTCCCTACAAGAGATATCTGAAGCAAATTGAGTTAAAACTTTTAGACAAAAAGACATAATTTTCCTATTCCTGGCTCTCATATTTTGACTATTTTTTCGAATTTTCTTTCTTTGAAGAAGCTCAGAAGATGTTGAAGATTCAAGAGCCAGAAATTGACAAAAATCGAGACAAAGAAATTGAGAAATGAAGAGAACATTTGAGGCATTTGACATTTGTTGGACAAAAAGACGTATAGTTTTTCTATTCCTGGCTTTCATATTTTGTCTGTTTTTCTAAATTTTCTTTATTTAAAGGAGTTTAGAAGATATTGAAGATTCAAGAGCCAGGAATAGACAAAAATTGATTCAATGAAATTGAGAAATAAAGAGGAAATTTAAAGCAAATTGAGGAAAAACTGTTAGACAAAAAGACGTAATTTTCCTATTAGTGTCTCTCATTTTTGACTATTTTTCTGAATTTTCTTTCTTTAAAGAAGCTTAGAATATATTGAAGATTCAAGAGTTAGAAATGGACAAAAATTGAGATAAAGAAATTGAGAAATACCCAGATGGCATAAACATATTGCAGGAATATTCATAGGAATATAAAGATATCCGATACATATGCCATGAAGATCTTTTCAAGTGACAGGAATATCCCAGGCACATGCTTAAGTCACCAGTAATGGAGGCACCTGAGCCTGAGAAAGGACCCCGCAATATTCAAACGGAAATTGGTTACCCGTGATATTTGGATGAAATTTAAATATATTATTATTATGCAATATTTTTTACCATGGGCGCAACCTTGTATATATGACAGGTGAGGCGGTATCGGCTGTCAAATATTGGAATTTCATATTCAAAAGTAGGTTAACTATGGCAGATTTTGATGAAGCAAGTATAAATTCCTACTAGGTCGAACAAGGTAAATCGAAAAATGTCAACAACTTTGACATCTGTCAAAACCCTGCCAAACAGCAGCACTCATATTTTTTAGTTTTCAATATTTCATGATGTGTCATTTGACAGTTTTAGTTTATGTTAATTCTGAGTTGAAAACTTGGAAAAAAAAATGACAAAACTGTCAAAACCAGTCATTTATTTTAGTAGGAAAAAAGATTCATGTCTGATTCTTTTTTGTTTTAAGGTAGTTTATTGGTAATAAAACATTAAGCAAAGCTCATAGACAGCTGTCAAAATCTGAAACCTTTGTATGTTTTTTTATGCTTCATAATAAATAAGCATAACTTAAATAATTGGAACAGAACTAGAGTTCAGTTTTTTTTTCTTCAATTAAAGCTTATCTCAGATTTTGACAGCTGTCAAAATTTGATGTTTATGATTTATCACCAATAAACTACCTTCAAACGAAAAAGGGCCAAATTGGATTTTTTTTTTGTTACTAAAACAAATGACAAGTTTCGACATTTCTTTATTTTTTTTTTTTTTTTTTCAATTTCTGAATTGAGAGTTTACATAGGTTGAAACTGTCAAATGTCACAACATGAACTATTGAAAACTGAAAAATATGAGTGCTGCCGTTTGGCAGGGTTTTGACATATGTCAAAATGATTGACATTTTTCGATTTTCCTTGGTTGACTTATTGGGAATCAGAACTTGTTTCATCAAAATCTGCCATAGTTACCCTGCTTTCGAATATTTGTCAGCTGATACCGCCTCACCTGTCATATTACAATTTTGCTTACGGCATTTCCAATAACATATTTAAATTTCATCCAAATATTACGGGTAACCAATTTCCGTTTAAATATTGCGGGGTCCTTTTTTTCATTATGAGCCAGTCGAATATTAATTTTGGACAAAATGTCAAAATAGGTATTTTCGAAAACCTCTGAGCTATCTTCACTATCTGGATTTAAAATCAAAAGTTTGAGCTGATTGGCTTGGAAGGTTTTGAAATTGCCTTTCAATAACTCTTTTCTAGCTTCCAATGGACCTTTCTCATGCAATGAACAACAAGGATAGTTTATCAAAATTTCTGTAATAAAGAAAGAGACATATATAATTACGCACGATACCTGTGTGGAATGACTTTGATTGGTTCCACTTGTCAAATTGTGTAATTTCGGTTATGTTTCTGTTTTTGTTTATTTTTAAACGTAAATATGGAAAATATGTAGGGGAAAAGTTTAAAAAAGTTTGAGAAGTACGAATTTGCAAGTACCTACTAGCAAACCTTTAATAGGGAATTTTCATATTTCTCAATTTATTTTTTTTCAGATACTTCTAGTGATCAGATATTACATAGTTTTTTTTTTCCATTTCAATCTATACGTTGTAGGAAAAAAAATTATTGAAATTCAAATTAAAAACTTTGGCGCGAAAACGCGAGGTTTCAATATGACAGCGCTCGTGACGTCAAGATTTCGTAAAATTCTATGTTCGTAAACAACAAACGCAGCAAATGAACTCCTGCTAACGCATCAGTGCTATTTTTGTCGCAATGGATGAAGAATATTGTAAAGAACTACTTTTGTAAATTTTATTTCACTTGCAAGTTCCCTATTGTACAATTATTATTGTATTTGATATGGAAATCGTTATTTTACAAACCCTCAAATCTCTGTTTCAACTTAAATCGTCTTCAGTCAGGTTGGGAGCATGTAACCATTATTTTCTTAAAATTTGATTGCGTGGAAACTTGTGAAAAGAAAGATTTGACTTCTTTTTCGCCTTACTCTGACAAGATCTCACACAAAACATTTGAACCATATGTACAATATTTACACTTTATTTACACTTTACACGGGAATAAGATGGCTATAGGCCAGAGCTTATGTTATGTTTAAGTCTAAAGTCTAAGATGCCACAAAGGCAGAGCTGTATTTTTATACAATGAATGAAGGTTGGAAGAGAAGAGGCTGAGGTGACGTTTTTTGCTTGCTTTTTTTCCTCCACTCTTCTTCTCCCACAATGAATGACAGATGACAGAATAAAACATTTAACTTAATGAATTGCGGTTAGAGAAACAGAGAGAGACAACTAGACGGTTGGATAGTTTCCAACAAAGAACTCGATGAGAACTTCAAAAAGAGGTATGACTGTATGACACGATCCATGCACGACCCTTATCCCCTATTCAAATTTGAGAGGATATTCTCAGTTCCAAGCCAGTTAGGGGCCTAAAGCTACGAGGATGAAAAAAAACTGGAAAATAGTTCCCCCCCTCAAATCAAAAATTGACGTGTTCGAGCGTTTTTCCCAAGGACGTTTTTCCAAATTTTCATTTGAAATCTAAAAAAATCGGAATGGAAAGTTTCCATTGGCCCACCCTGTATAATGCGTGCTAATTGCAATGATTCTTATTGTATATTTCTTAGACATTGAACTACCTATATCTCAAAAACTAGTCATAGGATTAGTTCGGGCCCATGAGAACTTTTTATCAGAAAGTCAAGGTCCAACACATTTCAAAATTTCATTGAGTTGTTGAGTTGTTGAGTTCTAAATTTAGTTTGGAGCTTCAAATCAACTTTATATTTCATAAAGAGGAAACTTCAATTCATAAATCTTGAAAGTTTTAAGTCATGTGATCATTAGAAATATTTAGCACCCGGTTTTAATTATTTTTGCATGCATTCATTAACTCATTAGTTCAAAAATTCCTTATTTTTATATGAGAATGACTCAACGCTCCGCTCGTCTCGCAGAGGTTCAAAAATCAGTAATTTACTCATAAATTATACTTTTCTATTCATAAGTCCAAAATTTTATTAATTTTCAGTGGAAATCCAGTACGATTTCGAAGGATTCTATACATTTTTCAAGGTGGTTCACCCCTCGAGATAAATCATTCAGAGTGTGAATAGTCAAAGTGACCCAAATTTGTTTACCACTTACCACTAGCATTCATTACATCGTGATGGGGATGATTTGAGCACACCACAGTGTTACAAACAGCCAAAAGTAAAAGGAACTCTTGTAGCCTGGCACTGTGCATAGTTCTACTGCCATATATTTCATCTGATAGATGTCCTTCCTGATTCAAATCGCTTAGTAGGTTTTTGTTTGTGACCACACTCAAATTTGTTTGCTTTTTGGCTATAAAAAAAGAAACAAAATTACATTTAAACTTAAACAAACAAAAAACAACTTACAATTATTTGTTTCGTCTTCCAATACTGGATGATTATAATCGACACCGGCAATGGCGCAATTTCTGAAAATCATCCTGTTTTCAGTCAACGTGCCAGTCTTGTCGGAAAATATATATTGAATTTGCCCCAATTCTTCTGTAATATTCAGTGCCCTACATTCGATTCGCTTATCTGTAACAGGATCGTACAAATCTGCATTGTGATGTATGTGATAGACTTGTAAAATTTTGCACAGTTCCAATGTTACGTACAAAGATAAAGGAATCATAATCTAAAATATTAATGTTTGTAAAAATATTATTATATTGGAGGATTATTGTTACTTGTAAAATAATAACGTAAGTCCAAAAAGCTAAAAATGCCTCTAAGGAATCGTGATGATCTTGAAACGGGGCTGTCAAGTTGGGATAAGTTTTCAGCCACAATTTGCACCCTATCGCTCCAACTATACAGAAAAAAATCAATATCAAAACACACCAAATTACGTCCTGATTCATTTGCTTCTCTAAGGAGGATCGTTTGTATCTTGGACCTCCGTTATTGAGCAGAGCTTTCGTTTCGTGGCCTAAAAACAAAAATATAATGGAGTTTCAAATCTAAAATAAGAAAAGCATTTACCAGCATAAACTACAATGCCCTCAACAAAATCGGTATTTTTCAGCAAACATTCCCTGAGCAATAGATTGTCAGTGCCCACGGGTACCCGTTTGCCCGATGGGTGCACAATAGATCCGTGAAATCTGTAAATTTTCGTTGTGGGTGCTTCCACTTCAATGTTGCTACGAAATTTGCTCGGATCAAAACAGTGTTGCTAAAACGAGAAATGTGTGCCAATAGAACAAGGAAGACTGCAAATTCTTTTCTATATTGAATTGGATGGTTAATGGCCATTACCACACTCACGTTACCATATGAAGCTTATTAGGTCAATGCACATTCGTTTGAATTAAAGCAAATTTCACTCTGACATCAAAATTAAAAATAAACTTTTTGTATATGGTAGAATGATTTTTGTTGTTTTCAAAACGCTAAAACGTAACTTTGCATATCTTCTTAAAAGAAATTGAGCAATCACTGTACAATTTTTACCTTTTCAACAAATCCCCTAGCAACTTGTCTTTGTTTCAAATTCGTTTCGCCATCCAAATGTCCAGTATCAATATAGCAAAGTCCACTAGGCTCGCTGGATTTGAGCAATAAAATATCGGCAGGAACTACTTCATTATTTGACAGGTGAATCAGGTCACCTACTCGCACGTCCTTCCATAGAACTTTTCTATATCTTGAATGTTCGCTGCAGGAAAAAAAAAACAACAGTTAGTTTAAATTAATTAAAACTCCAAAACAATGTCGTTTTATTTTAAATTGCCTCTTGTATGCAAAAAGCCATATGTAAACTGGGTCAGATTGGTTTAGTCTAAGACCTCGTTCTCGACCTGAACAATTTAGATATTACAAGCCTCAAGGAATTTTGCCTTAAGTACAATAATAATTATTTTATGAATGAAAATTTGCATCTCCTAAAAATATTTCTTTGTTGATAGGCCCCCAACTAGTGACGTCAAAAATTCGAGTTTGTCCATTAGTACGGGCTGAGATCTTTATCGGAAATTTACTTTATTGTTGCAGTTATGGCGCAAACCGTTAATGACGTCAGGGATTCTTAGAAAGTTTATATGTATTGTGGGATTTTATTTTCAGGATTGTCTCAAATCTATTGTGAGAATGTTTGGGAAATGGTCAGCGAAAAAATTGAAAAATTGTTTAATGCGATTTTATTTCTGGAACTATAAGTCCAAATAAATGATGATGAAATGAAATTCTCAGGAATTGTAGTCCCTTTATTGAGATAAATTTCACTGAAAATTTCAGCTGTCTATCTATAATAAAAAAAAAATTATGCCCTCCCAACAGTGGCGGCTCGTCAGAGGAGGCAGGGGAGGCTAAATCTCCCCCAAAAAATTGAAAATTCAATCTCAATTTTTTATTCCTGATTTCTAATTAAAATAATAATTCACAAATTACACAACAGAATTCCAATTTTCGATATTTCAATGTAATTTAGAAAGATCTGACAACATTATTTCAATCAATCCCGCGCCTCCACGACAAAAATCTGTGAATCTGGGATACTCAGTAATACCGGCCCGAAGGGCCGGAGTTATACGCGAGCCCGAAATGCCTGAGTTATACGAGCCCGAAGGGCTAGAGTTATACGCGAGCCCGAAGGGCCGGAGTTATACGCGAGCCCAAAGGGCCGGAGTTATACGCGAGCCCGAAGGGCTAGAGTTATTTTAATCACGGGACTCGGTCTATAATTCTATTAGTCAGCGGATACCTAATTTAGAGCCAATTAAAAACCAGGAGTATTTAAAATGCGATTTTTAGCGTCCGATCAAAGAGCCGGGAATATTCAAAAACTTTAGTTTCATAAAATTGATTTTGGAATGTTGGTTTTCTTGAGATTTTTACTTTTTTCAGAAAACGGTGGTTTTTGCAAACATATACTACTTTATCATTGTCTTTGTCTTACTCACTATAATCAATAAGTAAACCTTATAATATCATTTTCATTGATTTATTAATTTCATTATTAATTATTTATTAAATTGAATTTTAAATAAAAAACTCTTTTAAAATGTTATTTTTGTTTTCCGAGATGAGATGTGGCAACGTTGCTTTTAGTTGGCCATTTTGAAGTGACGCCTTGTGATTTTTTGCCAGTTTTCTCCCGAATTTTCGATTTTTCCGGAGTTTTTTGATGGAAAAAAGCGATTTAACTTTTCTTCATTTTTAAGTAAAAATTTTTAGTTTTAAATACCATAATTAGCGAAATCCCATTTAAAATGCTTTTGATGTGGCAACATCGCTAGTGGCTAAATTCAATCAAAGAAGCATTTTTGACAGTCGGCCATTTTCAATTGACGTGTTTACATTTTTATTCAGTTTTTCTTCGAATTTCCACTTTTCCGGGGCTTTTTCAGTCGGGAAAACTGATTTAAAGTACGAGGCTTTGAGTTTTCTTCATTATCCACCAAAAATTTCCAGTGTTTTAACGGGGTAAGTGAGAAAAACTTTAGTTTCATCAAGTAGGTTTTGGAATGTCATTTTCGTTGGTTTTTTTTTTGGAATTTTTATTTAAGGTTTTTGGGGTCCGGGGATCGTTTTCTACCACTTTTTTTCTCGAAATTCGCAAAATAAAAAAAACTTTTTTGACGTTGACAGCTGTCAATTTTTTTTCTACACAAATCGATAGTTGGCATCGTGAAACTGCCTTGCACTGGGGTTTGATTTTCGTAGCTTTTACAATAGAGCGGGGGAAAAGTCGAACATGTGTCAAATTTGACAGGTGACGTTTGTCGATATTGCCAAAGTGTCGTGCGATAAAAGTTTTATCCGAACGAACCCGTTCATTGTTAACTGATTTTAATACTCCGGGGTTGTAATCTTTGAAACAAAAAGACGTTATTTTGTATCGATTGTCAAAAAAACCCAAGGTTTGAAATTTCAATTTTTTGACGTTTGTTGTATCATGAGCAGTGTTGCCATATGTTTTTTTTCGAATCTCGATTCTAGAAGGCTGAGGTTATCTCAATTATGAGCTCAAAGGGCCGAGGTTATACGAGTCCGAAGGGCCGGAATCATGCGAACCCACAGGGCCGGAGTAAAACGAGCCCGACAGGCCGAGGTTATTTTAATCATGAGCCCGAAGCTCCGAGGTTATACGTGCCCGAAGGGCCGGAGTTATACGAACCCGTTTATTGTCAATTGATTTTAATACTTCGGCCCTTCGGATCGTAATCTTTGAAACAAAAAGACGCCATTTTATACCGACTTGCAAAAAAACCAAGGCCTACTTTGATATTTCAATTTTTTGACGTTTGTTGTATCATGAGCAGCGTTACCATATGTTTTTATCAAATCTCGATTTATCTCGGTTTGTAACCTAAGAGTGCCTGAAACATTTCTTCACGTTCTCTTTGAATGTCCTTTATATCGTAGTGTTAGGCCGGCAGATTGGGGTGATATACCGAATTTTGCTCATAATTTGGACAATCTAAACCCTCAACTGGTGAGGGTTATTTTCCAAACCGTTACTAGTATTTTTAAACTTAGATCGTTCTTAAGAAATGAATAGACCTATTCTTTAGATTTTAATTTTATCTTCCTATTCTCCTCGTACCTGAATTATTATAGAGTATTATTTTTTGTTCTTTTTCAATTTCAAATTTGGGTTTACATATTTAAACGTGTAGCTTATAAGTATGAGAAATGTAGCATTACTTAGATTAAGTTTATTATTGTGCAGAACCTGCTGTTATAAGAATGTATATTCTTTTTAAACAATAAAGAATTGATTGATTGATTGATCAAATCTCGATTTATAGGTTATTTTAAACCCAATCATTTCTGAAAAATATTTACTTTAAAATTCCCAAATATCCTTTGGAATCCCCAAAAATCTGTTAAAATCTCAGAATTCTATAATTTAGTGGAATTTCGGTAGAATAATTATGTTATTCTGAATTCCATAGAATTCACATTAAATTTTAATTCCTCTCGAATTACTTGAAATTTCAGTGAAATTCCGATCGAATTATACGACATCCTAAATGAATTACATGGAGGAATTTTAAACAATTATGTACATGATATAACACCTAAATTATCAACATGAAATTCCAGCTTTTACTGAATTTTAGTACTGCCGAGGAATTTCCAGCTAAAAACATGGAATTTCGGTATTCCGAAAAATTCCCATGAAATTTTCAATATATTTCGATGAATTTTTAAGAAATTACTTGAAACTTCATTAATATTCCCAGAAATTCTTGGCTATTAAAAAAGAATTTCAGTGAAATTCCGAAAAATTCTTATGAAAATAAATTAAATTTTAAAAATTTCTTGAGGTTTTTCGAGAAATTTTCGGTTATGTTATGAACGTGGATATTTTCACAAAATTTTAGTGAATTTCAAGAAATTTTTAAGAAATTACATGAATTGTCAATGAAATTCCATAGAATTTTATGAAAATTTTGTGGAATTCCAAGATATTTCAGTGGTAAAATTTTGAGCAATTTTAGTAAAGTTAAAAAAAAAAATAGAATTTCGAAATTGAAATCTTAGTGGAATTCAGAGGAATTTCATGAAATCCTATACTGTAATTCCGAAAAAAATTTGTCCAAGAATTCCATAAAATCCTCTAATGAAATATTAAGGTATTTATTTCCATGGAATTACTTAAAATTTTCGCGGAATTCCCATGGAATAACTTAAAATTTTAATAGAATTCCAAAGAACTTTGATGAAATCTTCGAAAGGTTTTTCCCCCAATTAGTTTTTCAGGAAAACTTTGAAAGTGTGAGACTGTATTTTTCAAGAGGCAAAACCACCTTGGAATTCTTTGTTAAAAACTTGGGGAATTTATAGGGAATTTGGAAGATTGTGTTCGATGTTGGACGAATTCCAAAGAATTCTCGTCGAATTACACCTACATGGAATTCCTTGAAATCTTATTCTGGAATTCCAGTGAAATTATATCGAAACCGAAAAATTCCCTCGGAATTAAACAGAATTTTCGTGGAAATTCTATGGAACCACGAAAAATTTCGGCGGAATTCCGAAAACTTGAATTAAATTTTAGTGAAATTCTGAGTAATTTCTGTCGAAATTTCCATGAAATCTTCTACTGTAATCCGAGGAATTTTTGTACAAGAATTTCATTGAATTTTATGGTGGAATTCGGAAAAGTATTATGAAATCTTATGATAAAATTTCTAGGATTTTCTGTTTTTCTATTCAAATTTGTCATTTGAATGGAATTTCGAGGATTTCCATAAAATCTTCTAGTGAAATTCTGAGGAATTTCTATGGAATTAACAAAAATTTTCGCAGAACTCCCATGGAATATTTATCGTTAAGGCTCCCCTAAATTAGTTGGTAATTTGTATACAAGTTGGTCAAAATCCCAGAAAAACTCGTAAGATCTACTCAAAATCACTGAAAATCTTAAAAATCTTTTAGCCTCCTCACTTGAAATAGTCACGAGCCGCCACTGCCTTCCAAAGAAATTTCAAATTTTTTTTTGTCGAGATTTTGTATCCTAATGGTCAATCAACATACCCCAAACTCCATACACTAAATTATTCTCAGATTTGAAGTCGAAATCTATGAAAAAAGGCACTCAGAAAAGTTGAAAAATTGATAAATCACCCCAAATTGCTTAACACGATTTTATCTCAGGAAGTGCAAATGAGCTGAAATTTTCAGGGATTGTAGTCCTTTGAAAGGGAT